TAATTCAAGGCAAAAGGTACTATAGCATATGTAAAGAGAAAGCAGAAAATAATAAAAGACCCACTCCTGCAAGTCATAGTCCTTACTACCCTGTATAAATCTACATCACTGACCTGTCTTTGAATCTTTGTCAAATTTAAAAGAAAAATAGTCTTGGTACATCCCTGTCAACAGTGTTCAATGGGTAATTATATAATAGGTCTGTAAGAATCTTTAATAGAAGTGGGCGTTAGGCCCCTCACAGACGTTAATTTAAATGTACAACGGGATCTGAGGAATTTTATGCCAGATCCCAAAAATCGTGCATGATGACAAGCCAGACGTTCAAGATTTTGCATGGCAGGACATATGATTTTGGGGATCTGGGATCCCTTTACAGACCCAGAACTTTAAGTCAAATTTTTAGCCCATCATGATTATTTCTATATTACTGACATCATGTCCATACCTGTCATAAGGGTGATAAGCCCTTTTCTTCATGTAGTACATTGCAGGTGTATTAATTTTTTAGGATCTGCATTGTGGAGTTCATAAAAGCAACTGGAATACCTTATATCTAATTTGATTAACCTGAGGTCTGATACATGAGATGGGATCATAACCCATTTATTTATCTTGCATCTCACCAGGCAACAGACTGACCTTAGCCAGGGTTGTAAGGACCAGAGCCTAATTTTGGCAAGTAGAATCATGGAAATGCATCTTTCTCTTGCCCCAAGGCACAGTGGCCAGGACACTCATCTGGAAAGCCAGAGGTCCTCAGCCACATTCACTCAGAGGGGATGTGAACTTAAGTGTCCCTGGCTTCCCAGCATAGCACTTTAACCACTATGCAACAGGTCAGCCATTACCCAGCCCTTTTCTGATGCTTCTTTTGAAGTTGAGCCATTATATAGCCGCTGGAAACAAGGATGGAAAAAAGTTAATAAGTGCAGGGTGGCAAGAAGCTTCTGCCTCACTGGGAGCAACATGAACATAGGTACCCCATATGGTTAGAGTCATAGTCCAGTCTTTAGTCTAAGGAGACAGAAGGATAGCATGGGTGTGTGGTCACCACTATGGCCTCAAAGGATATAGCTAACTCTCATTGTTTTAGCTAACCCATGGTTATTCACAGTGAAAAGTCCTGAAAGAACAGATTTCTAATTGCTACAGTCTTCTACTGACCGCAAGAGATGCAGTTACTTAATTGAGTATGGTGAAAACGTATGGCCAGGGAATGAGGATGAGAAATACATTTTTTGATATGCAGTGCTAAGGAATACAATAATATTTCCTGCTCCGGAAATAGCAGTTATCCCAGTATGGAAATAATCTCCAGGTACAAAGTGGACTCCTTTAGCATAATATCCATCAGTACAGTAAGGAACAGACTGGCTAAATGTGGATGCCTGCGTGGCCACTGTCATTAAAGAATGTGTCACTGTTATCACAACTGCAGCACTGTACTTCTCATGTGAATCTTCATAAGAGATCCTTAAGGTTTATCCTCATAGATATCTTTTGCCCTTTCTCTGTGGATTGATACTGAGCTAGAAGTAATGGCTTCTGTGCTCAGAACTTATTTTGGTAGCATGAGCCTTTGATACTGGGGACACTGACTTTGGGGTTCCTGATGCCAGATTTTTCTTCAACACCAAAAATTTGTCATTGCTGGTTTCTGGTGTCACGTGCCTTATTTTGAAGGTTACTCAGATACCGATTTCATTGAGACTGTTTCTGGTACCCGTTACTTTTGGGTTAAAGTTGACTTTCATTGTTTGCTCTAACAAGTTGTGCTTAAGACGGACATTTCATGATTTGTGCACCTGCAATGAGACAGAATGGCATACCTTGCACTGATATAAAATGTGGTTTTTGCCCAGACAAAATTGGTATCACTGTGGTCGTCTATGGGGATGATGAAAGTCTTATCATTCTTATATGAGCATCCCCTTCCCAAACTCCCTTCCCTTTCTATATTTGATAAATTAAGTAGGAATTCCCTACCATGAAAATGGCAGGCAAGTAGAAGAATTGGCAAATGCCAAAGAGCAGCAAATTAAAGTTTGCCATTTTGGTGTCATGAGTGGCAAGAGGCAATCAAGGGATGGCTGTAGCCACCTCACTCTTTATGCCCTGGGATGAGAACAAAATGAAGTGCAGGGTGCATTCAAAGCCCCAGTGGACAATACTGCTCAAAAGACTTGGATCTCACACATAAAAGTGTATGGACACCTTCAGTGAGATTCATAAAAAGACGGGTGAAGAAGAATCACAGTTATGAAACTGCTGAAATACTTTCCTTTCAATTATGAGACACATAAGCACCTCTCAATATGTATTCAATCCCTAGGCATTATATCTTAGTTTTTTTCTATTAAAGTAAAAGAGAGAAGGCCAATTTTCCAGCTTTGTTTCTTCCTTGATTTAATATTTTTTTCTACAAGGTTGCTTTGCACCTCAATATGTAGAGTTGGATAGAGAAGCAAAAGCCCATGGAACACATTTTGTTTCTGTACAAATGGTGCATTATCCAAAACAGATTTCATTTTTTTTCCAATGGCAACATAAGCATAATAATATTGAGTAAACATTCCAGTGTTCTGACAGATAAACACAACTCAAGTCAAATTTCAGTGTTTTGTTTTAAGATAGCACGGATCAAAATACCACGATGGTTGTTGGCTCTAGATTTAGGATCCAGATACCTTGTTCAGGGTGGGGGACCCACCTTTATACCAACCACGACCTCTCCATTCGATAATAGGCAAATTTATTGATACACAGTGATAACAAAAAAAGAAACAATATATAGAATTGCTTGATTGTTTGTAGCTACCAAATCCTAGGGCTGCCAGAGTCAAAGTACATCTGGTCAGGAAGCAGGCTCCACTCTAAGGCTCTTTCTTAGGTGTCAGATGTCAGCACAGCATGTCAGTAATCTGGAGGTGGGATGCCAGGGCCCACAGCCCCCCTCCAGTGGGGTGTATGAAAACGGGTTGGTCATATGCCCTTGGTCCATGGTGGCCTCGGGGGCCCTTCCCAGGGGACAGGGATGGGGACCCCTCTTGGGGATGAGAAGGAGAAGAAACCCAGGAGGGACAGGGAAGGACGGAAGAGAAGGAGTGATGGAACGGAAGTGAGGGAAGGACAGAAAGGAAAGGAAGGAGGGACAGGGAGGGATCCTTTGTTAATCTCAAGTCTCTGCTTTTGTATTCTTCTTCCCCCTTGATGACTCTCTTTCCCTCTTGATGACTCCTGATGACTCTTCATTTGTGGCTATTTCTGGTGGGTTGTCTCTCTGTGGTTACACATCCACATAGCCTTCCAGGCCTTTTCCTAATTTGGTCTGTTCCCCCAGAACCTGGACTCAGGCCCCCCTCTCCTCTGAGGCCTTGTAACTGGTGTCACTTATCTTGTGTTATGGGACAGTATAGTACATACTTCCTTGGTTTCCAGGCTGTTTTCTAGACTGTGTCCTTGTTGTGTTAGACAACTTGTCTGCCTTGAAGGCTGTGATTTCGTGTTATGGAATACCCCCTTAATTCTCAGGCGGTGCCTATCCATTGGCCTTGTTGTACTAGACAGCCTGTCTGCTTCCACGGCTATATGGAACTGTGTGTGTGAAACCCAGGCTCTTATAAATCAATTAGCCCCTGATGCTCATCTTGAATCCTTATAATGCATATATGTATACCTATAAGCCAATTCCCAAAAAAGCAAACCTTTAAATAATATTTTCAAGCCAACAGTGGTCTTGCAATTTGAATAAATGAAGAGAAGTTGTGAGGCTTCAAATTTGCTTTGGCTAACAGGCACATAATAGCAATCATATTACAAATGTAACCGATATCATATTTTATAAAAATCCACAGTATATTTCAATATGACATGACCAGTATTGGAAGACACCGTATTTGACTTCTTTATGTTCAGTATTCTTTGTAATCCCACATCACTCAGAGTACAGGACTTTGCAGGAAGTTCCTGGCACCAGTAATCCCTTTATAAATTTCAGTTTATACATAAAGTCACATAAACCACACATTCGTGCATTCAAGCCAATTTTATATTCAGGGCATTCAAAATAATAAAGCATATTTCTCGTACACAACAGCACTGAGAGAAAGCAATGAAATTAAGTCAATTTTAAAACACAAGAAGCTAAAAAATTTTCAGATGGTGCATTTACACATACACTTATAGAACAGTAGACTAATTTGGTGCGGTGTAAAGAGTCACAGTCCACATGCGCAATGCTATTAGACTGCAACAAACTAATTTTCACTGCTGTAAGACAGGACTGCCACGGACAGTACTAACTTATGGTGGCAAAAATAAAGGCGCCTAAACACTTGTATAAACACTGACCCAGGCATACACTAAGTCTGGTCAGCCCAGGCAGCAGGGGGCCAGACCCCTGCTTGCCACCTAACCACAGGACTCTGCATGCTGGTGCACCCTTGTGCCCTGGCCAGCCCCTCTGCTACCCAACACTGCCTTCTGGAGCCCAGGGCTGATCCCCTGGGTCCCTGGGTAGACCGGGGCTGCTCCAACCCTCTTAAACCGCTGCGGTCTTAGGTGCAGCGTCTGCATGTGTGCCCTGGACCCAGCAGTTTGAGCACCCACATATGCCATTAAGGTGCCATGATAAACCCTGGCACAAACTGTGCTGGATTTTATCACATCACCTTAATGGGAAGTGTAGATGAACCCAGAAGGTCTTAAATTGATTTAATCTTGTTGTACTCAAAAAGCTTGTGAATTACGGTTACTTGCTAACACACGCTGAAAGTTAAATTCAGCATTTAAATAATACTATAGACCTTACTGAATATCAGAGGAAACTAAAATGTGTGGTACAAATTTCATTTAGAAATCAATTTGCTTTTGCAGCAAAACAAATGCAACAGGATTCTATTTTCGAAATCATTCATAACACTTCAATCCTTTTGCTCACCAAGCATCATTTTTATGTATAACTAATTATGAAAAAAACCCAACCATAATATTCTGACCTGGATAAGATGAGCTGGCACTGTGATGATGCAGGCTGACAAAGACATTCTGAGGAGACTGCGGAGAATGTAGAGAAACTTTGTGAGGCTATGAACGTCTTCTGGATTATCAGTGCAACAAATGTCTTCACCCCACAACACTGAACCAAGGTTCTGAATTCCTATCCGCAGAATATTTTTTTGTTTTTTCTAATGAAGAGAAGAAACAAAAAATACTTGACTGTTACTTACAACATTAACGGTAAAACTCCGCACCATTTTGGCAGACAATCTTCAGAATTCTTGTAATATATAGTATTAGTATGCATAGCAACTAGTTTGAAGTTGACTCATGACTGTATAAGAGGATCTGGAGAAATAGTAGTACATTAACAGCAATTTTTGCATCAACAGAATAACATGCCAAGTTTGATGATCAAGTGCTGGTTTAATAGCTGCCAGAGAAATTAAAAGCAAACCTAATTTGATTTTTTTGAGAATGATCAGTTAAAAATGAGGTAATGTTCTGACAGAGAACCTTTAAAAGGTATAGCATGGATTTTCCTAATGGGAAAAAAGTGTTAAGAAACATTCTTGTCCCTTTTGTATTTTGGAGGGTTTTCTGGGAATGTGACAATACAAACACTACCACATATACACTCAGACATTCTCTCCTTCACCTTCTCTTCTGCTACATGCACACTGCTTGCTTCTTGCTATCTGTCACTTTGGCTAGGGACAGACATTGCACATAAACTGGTTTAAGTGATCAGAAACTGGTTTAAACCTGTAACAGAACAGATATTCAGTGCATATAAACCAGTTTGAAAAAGGCTGAAACCAGTCTGAGGTAAACCTGATTGAATGCAGTATCAGACTTAACTGATTTGGCTCAAACTGGTTTAAGCACTGTTTGTCCCAGACCCCTTGCTGGTGTAAGATGAACCTGACTCCCCCAGCATTCGGGCATGTTCTCTGAGTTGGGCGGGGCTCTCTGCTTCACAGCAGGGCTGGCCCCTCCCCTCTGCTCCCTGGGCAGAGCTCCTGTGGCACAGACTTGCAGGCAAAGCAGGGTCTTCTGACGTCCCCTTGCCCCCGTCTCTCTCCCCTCTGACCACTTGCTGCTTAAGCAGGGATCCCTTCCTCCCCTTTCCCACAGCACAGACCATAGTCAGTGTGTGGTATACTAGCGAGTGCTGTATAAGGTTCTGGCAGAGACTGCAGACACAGCAGGGTCTGCTGGCTTCCCCCGCCTTACCCCCCTTGCTGCTCAAGCAGGAAATCATCCCTTCCTCTCTCGATCTCCCACAACATGGACCCCAGCCCCATGGACCCTAGGCATGTGGTGTGCTAGCCAATGCTGAGAGGTGTCTGTGTGTGTGTCTCCAATTTCATTGGGACAGGCAGGTAAGACGAACAGGGCTTTTGGAAATAATCAACAGGTCACCCTGGTAAACTGTTTAAGAAGAGTTTGAAGTAATGGGAAAGAGGCTATTGTTTTGCTAATTGGGTGATAAAGACTCTCATTAGCTCCAAAATACCTTGCTCGCCTGTCAGTTTGCTGCAGACAGTCTGACAAGCAGGGAGGTTGAAAAGCTCCGTATCATCAACAGATGCATGCACTGCACCCTCCCTCCCCAGTCTTGCCCCAGAGTGCTAGCAAGGGTCTTGGGGCTGACAACTCTCCCACCCCTTGAGCAGCCAACAGGGAAAAGCCTGGAATGGTGCAGGCAGACCTCCCTAATGAGAAAGTCCTGCTGGGGCCTGGCCACATCCCCCCTCAGCTCAACTCTGTGCAAGAGAAGAGAGGGCTGCTCTAGTGCCCCCCCGGCTTCTAGCTATGCCACTGCAGGCATGTGCCTGAATTTCCTCAGTCCAGAGGGATTGTATGGTTGGAAACTGGTTCAGCCTAGCCAGGTTAGATTAACCTGCAAAGGGTTGAATCAATTCAGGCTCAGGCTTTTTGAATGTCTGTCCCTAGCCATCCCAGGTATTTTGCTGCTCATAGATGATAGATCGGCTTCTTTTTTTTTTTCATCCACACACTCTAACACGGGTTCATAGATTTCATAGACATTAATACTGGAAGGGACCTTGCGAGATAATCAGGTCCAGTGCCCTGCCCAAGAGGCAGGAAGTCAGCAGGGGCCAGATCACCCCAGCAAGATAAGCATCCAAGTGTTTCTTAAAGGTATCCAGAGTAGGTGCTTGCACCACTTTGGGGGGGGGGGTGGTAAGAGGAGGGGAAGGAGTCTATTCCAGAATCTGGAGACTTGGACAGTAAAGAAGTTTTTCAAGTTATGTCCAGTCTAAAATGGTCTTCCAGCAGTTTGTGACCATTGGACCTTGTCTTCCCTTGGGGTACCTTGGTGAACAGATGTTCTCCCAGTTCCTGATGCACACTCCTTACCTAATTATAGGCTGCCACCAAGTCACCCCTGAGCCTTCGCTTCTCCAGGCTTACCCAAGTCCTGTTCTCAACTGGGGTGCAACAGCATTCTCTGTTATGGCCTCAGCTTTAGAATTTGCATCTCCTTTGCTGAAATAATTCTTGGCCTTGTCTATACTAGGCTACTTCTTCTGGTAGACAACAGTCTCCATAGAGGGGTTGTCAGAACATGCTTACATCTTTGTAAGAAGCAGAGCAGCTGTGTTGGCAGGAGCAAAGTGCACCCTGGGAAAGCTGTTGAAGGGATTGAAGCAGGTGGCAAAAGGTGTGGACATATCTACACATGCCTCACAGCATTGGTAGCAAAAGCCTTCTTTTGGTCAGAGTTGTGATGTTACTTTCCTGGCAGAAATAAGATGTTCTGCCACCACTGGGAAGCTTTGTCTGTAGATGCACTCAAAGCTCATTTGTTTTCTATAGATAAAAGAGATATGGTAGGACTTGGGTAAGATAACAGATTTTTTTAGATGCTGAATTAATATTTATACGAGTGATCAGTACCAGTGAAAATGGGCTCTTGACATAAGATCCTGAAGTCATCTATTTGTATAACTGCAATTTCAAAATATGCCATCAAGAGAAGCACTCTTTTTATGATATTTTTTATATATATATATATATATACATACACTCTTTGATATTTACTATAGTGAATATCAGTGAAACTTGACTATACTGCAGTGCTGTCAAAAGAACAAAGTAAATTGAGAAAACATGTTAATACCTATTTGCAACAACAGTAGATACAACTTTTCCAGAAGGAAGTGGGACCGAAGGCATTTCCTTTATAGGCTAACATTACATGCAGGAGATAGTCAGAGTCCACATTTTTTTGTGTTTAAATGAGTTGCTGAGACACAAGACTACCAACTGAAATGATCTTTTTAATCATCACTAAAGGAGAGTGGTAGCTAATCAACTGTGCACTACACACCCATGCAATTAAAGACTCTAGAAACACTTTTAACCAATTATCATCTACTTTGTATTAAAAAAAATATTTTTGGTGGTAACATCTTCCAGTATCTTATTCCTGAATATTTATCAAAATCCTCCTGAAGATTAATTTTCATATATAACAATTTATCTTGTGTAGTACTTTCCATGTAATAGGTCTCAGTGTTTTGATAATCTACACTTGTACAAAAAAAACAACATTTCAATGACTCTCCAAAGTAGCACTGTAAGAGGAAATCAATTCCATACACCTACAATACTGAATTATTCTATCCCTCTCTTAATTTATGTAGATGATGCCCTATTAGTTGTTTAATCCCAGACAGGCCTCCAAACGTTATTTGATGCTTTTCAACAATACTGTCTCTCAAATAGCTTGGAAATCAACATTGCTAAATCCAAAATATTGGTTTTTGGGAATGAAAGAAAGAAATTTGTCAAGTTTTTACAGAACAAGGAGTTAGAGGTGTCCTCATTTAAATACCTCAAAATTTCTTTTAATAGAAAGTTGAGCTGAAATAAACATATAAAAATGTAAACAATAAAGAAAAACAACCTTGGATGGAGTTTTATCCTTTTACAATAAGACCCGTGAAGGGCAGTACTAGCACTACTAAAGGTCTACAGATCCAAGGTAGAATACATGTTATTGCACAGGGAGGAACTATGGGGTGCTGAATCCAGGCTTCATTTCACAATAGAACATTTTCTAATCACTTTTTAAGGCAGTTTTTATCTCACCAAACTCTATGACAAAGGGACTCGTACAATCTGAAACAGGGATGCTTAATGTGAGCACTTTAGCTCAATTAAGATCTCTAAATTACTGGATAAAAATTAGAGCTTGTAAACTGTATTGGATATCATAAGAAGTGAATTTTAGGAGCCTCTTGTCTTCCAAATAAACACTTATTTGTATGATTAAATAACATTTATACTGTCTTCTACACAAATGGCCTGCAAAATGCATTGACAGTTAGTGACCCAATATTTCCCCCATATTTAAAGCAAAATAGAAATTTAAGAATTAAAGATGCAAGCATGCAGGCAGATACTCAGGCCGTGAGGATTTTCTCATACTTCCCCTTTTCTAAATTAATAAAGCACTCTTTTGGCCTAGAAATCTATCTGAAGTGCAAAACCACAAACAATGAGAGGTCATCATAAGACCACAATTCATCTGGAGTTCTGCAGTTGTCATGGGAAGATGGTTTTGTCCCCATATCCAGAAGAATACATTCTTATGGGAATAATGAAATAGATTGCCTAAATCACTATTTGTGGTCTTGTTTGTTCTTTGAAGAAATGAGAGAGAATCTCAGTAGTGGAAAAATTTAATACTACTGGGCTAATGAAGAAAAAACAATTTGGTTTTGTTCTAACAACTTTCAGCCTGTCCTATACTCAACAGGTATATGTGCACTACTTGCACAAAAAATAAGGGCCAAAATAAAATAGAATTCCCTCTCTTCATTTTTTATTTTTATATTGTTTTATTTGATTTATTTTTATGGATCACATATAGTAGGTTCAATTTTACTTTTGTTTAGATTAGTAGAATGGGTAAGTCTATTGTATGCTGTTACCAATAACCACACATGTAATTTTATTATTATACAATATATAATTTTATTATTAATTCTCCTGTATCATTTTAGCAACAGCTGTAAATAAATGACTTTCTTAACAAGGCAGCATACTACTGCACTACATTCTTCTATATTTTCTAGTTTTATAGATAAAATTACCTGACTGCAAAGATACAAGCAAATTCTTTGATCAAATAGAAGCAAAATGAGAAGAA